AAAAGAACATTTGATGTCGAAATAAAATAGAAATATTAACTTTTGGTATGTCTTTCCCCAAAAGGCTATGATTATTATTTGCTACACTGATTTTCCTTTAAAAGCACATAATCACACAGAAACCACAGCAATGTAATGATTGCTAGAGTAATCATACATTGAAATAATCTTCCATAGGATTTTTCTAATTGTTTATCCATCAATCCCCAGAGAAAACATTCTGGGTTCAATTGAATATTTATCTTTAAAATCCTCTGTATCAATGTTTGTATTTGAATCCAATTTTGTAAGCTTTTTTCACTTGCCCAGTATGCATTATTTAATGTCTCTCCATGTTCTTTACATTTCAAACTCTACAAAGTTTTTCCCAAAAAAGGGCCTACATAATCTCTGGGAGTGTTTTATTTGAGCCGGTTTGAGAACTAACATTAGGAGTACCCCACGCAATTTTTCTTTCCTTGTGTTGCCACTGTTCCACCCCCACCAAGATTCCTGAGAAATCCAAAGATTTAATTGTTGAATTGGAATTCCAAATTCCCCCCTCTCTATCCCTCAGCTCCAGTGTGGCAACATTGAAGGCTCACAATGGCCTCAGTCAGGTCACTTCAGTTAGCATATGTTTGTGTTTAGTTTAGTTTAGTTTAATGCAATTTATATGCCGCCCTATCTCCAATGGACTCAGGGCAGCTCACAACAATAAAATACACAATAACATTGATACAATATAAAATTAAAAAGTCCGAATTAACAATTTATAATCAATTTAAAACTATTAAAAAAAAAACCCTCATCAGTCCAGGCTATGAAATAACCAGGTCTTCAAATCACAGCGAAACGAGCGAAGGTCAGGGGCCATCTGAAGCTCCAAAGGAAGTTGTGCTTGTGTTGTGTCCTGTTGGCTGCTGGCCCCTCCAGCAGCCAAATCAGAAGAGGAGAAGGAGGTGTGGGAGTCAGTGTCAGTGTCAGGGCAACCTGGGAGCTCCAAGGGGGAAGAGGGAATGGAGCTGTCAGAGAGAGAGGTGGAGCCTGGGCCATCCGTCAGCCCCCAAATGGAGAGTCAACAGCAGAGGTGGGTTTCAGCAGGTTCTGACCAGTTCTGGAGAACCAGTAGCGGAAATTTTGAGTAGTTCAGAGAACTGATAAATACCACCTCTGACTGGCCCCACCCCCATCTATTCTCTGCCTCCTGAGTCCCAGCTGATCAGGAGGAAATGGGGATTTTGCAGTATCCTTCCCCTGGAGTGGGGAGGGAATGGAGATTTTACAGTATCCTTTCCCTGCCACACCCACCAAGCCATTCCACGCCCACCAGGCCATGCCCACAGAACCGGTAGTAAAAATTTTTGAATCCCACCACTGGTCAACAGCCCCCAGGTCTGGAGGTGGCTAATGAAGAAGAAGAGGAACAGCTGGGTCCAGTGCCTGATGTGTGGCTGCACAGAAGACAGAGAAGGGGAGAACAGTGGAAAGCCATGGGCCAATCCTTAGGAAGGAAGAGCCACTGCTGCTAACGAGGCCCCACCCCACCAGCAGGGGATAAAAGGCAGGAGGTGGAGATGAATAATTATGGCAGACAACTATTCATCTTTTGGCTGGCCAGACTTGTTAGCCTGCGGAGAACATTTTGCCAAGGCTGCCAGCATTCCTAATAAAAGAATCTTTTGAGTTCACGTCAGAAGGTTTGTCTTGTTTGGGAAACTGGGTCAGAACAGCTTGTGTGTGTTTGTGTTTAGGGGAAAAAGGGAGGGAAAGCAGGACATTGGTATGGTTGACGAAATTGAGAAACTTGCCTTGAAACATCACCCTTTCCCATTCTTTCACCAGAGAATAAAAATGACCCTCATTTTCCAGCAGCAGAGACACACACGCACTCAGAAGGCACTGCAGATTCCAAGAAAAATTCTGATAAATTTCAGACAGGATTCAGAAGTGCAGGCTATCAGTGGCTGACTGGCAGGGAGATGAATAGTTGTCTGCCACACACCTATTCATCTATGCCCCCTGCCTTTTATCCCCAGAGCTAGGATGGGGCTTTGCTAGCAGCAGTGGCTGTTCTATCCCTAGGACCGGCCCTTAGATTCCTCCTCTTCTCTGCCTTCTGAGCATCCGTGCATCAGGCACTGGACCCAGCTGTTCCTCCTTTTCTTCATCAGCCACCTCCAAACCTGGAGGCTGTTGACTCTCCATCTGAGGGTTGATGGATGGCCCAGGCTCCACCTCTGTCTCTATTTCTGACAGCTGCCTTCTCTCTTCCCCCTCGGAGCTCTCAGATTGCCTTGATGCTTCCCACGACTCCCCCAATGCCTCCTCATCTGATTTGGCTGCTGGAGGGGACGGCAGCCGACCGGCCACAACAGGACTCCTCGAAAAACAATTATTCCCCTCAATCCTCTCTTTACAAAACTAACTAGTCACTCTTTCAATTATTATCATGCCAATGTCAACAGGGAAGGGAGGAAGCCAGAAGGACACCCCCCCCATGTTACTCATAGCTGAGCTTTTCCAATAAGCTAAAGAGACACAGAGAACTTGGTCAGTTGCTGCCTAAGAACATCCACCTGTGCTCTGTTCCTGACATTTCTCCATAAACAGAGTAGGTTGATAATTTACTAAAGGGGGCAGGCAAAGCAGACACATGGTAGAAACTGAAAATGCTCAGATATTTTGGAATCATGTGTGAGTGGATTGGCCTTAATACCTCGAGAAGAGGGGTGACTTATCCAGCAATTTCAGTAGACGGACACCAGTCAAAATAGTGTGATTTCAAGATAGTCATTGTTGCAAAAAGGATCCAACTACTGAGATGACCTCCTGGCTTGCAAAGGTTCTACTCCATCCCACTCAAAGGATGAGTCAAAGGACATTTGATAAATTGGACATAGTAGAAGCACCCCGAAAGTTAGCTTGATAAGCAGCTGGGTCTTTTGGAAGCATTCTGGGAGTTTCAGAATGAGTGGCAAAGGAAAGAAATTTTCAATGAAATTATAGCTCAAGCCACAGTACCAGATCATGATGGATGGCCACTGATTGATGATTGGACAGTATACGTAGAAATAACATCATCTGCTACAAACCAGAAGTCCGTGAAGTTAGCTCCAGAATCAAACATTTTCAAAATAGGTTTCCCTGGTATCTGCAATGGCACTGAAACCTCTCAATGTTTTCATGGAATGGGAGATGGGCTTTGGGCTTTGTTTGCCAGAACTTGTCCTCAGTTTAGTAGCCAATCTAAACTTAAACCGTTTCCCAAAGTGATTTTTTGGCAGGGTAGTTTGCTGCCATATGTCCCTGACCACCACAATACAACAAAGCCTCCCATCTGCTTTAGTGCCTTCTGAGCATCTGTCAGACTACGTCACGCACCCCGAATCTGCCTGGGTTCCTCAATGGAAGGGTTCCCCACCCCCAGTACTAAACATTGGCTGATATGCTGCAGGCATGACAGCAGGTTTGGTACTATGGACTCTGTCCTTTAGGTGCCAATCTATCTTCAAGCACAACTGAATTAATTCTTGCACTGTTCCCAGACATTCAGTTTCTGCTGACTTGTGAAAAATCTCATCTGCCAACCAACCCTTCCTGAAATTGGTCATTCAGGGCAACTTCATTCTGCAAAATGTGTGTGTTTTTTTAAGGAGGAGCATGGAAATGAGTCATATGAAGTTGGTGCAAGGCTCAAGAGCAGGGTTGTCAGCCAGTCCAAGGATCTAAGGTTCAAGAGTGAAATTCATGCACAGGGATTACACTTAAACTGAAGAGAAGGAGAGAGGGAGGGAGGGAGGGAGGGAAGGAGGGAGGGGGAGGGAGAGATGGAGAGAGAGAGTGATTGCTGCAACCATTGTTACTTATTGGAGTGTTGACTCCATTGCTAGGCAAATTAACTTGACAGAACTTATTTTCTACTGTCCTTTCTCCTGGGCCATCACAAGTCAACACATGACAAGTCAAAGGGGAAAAAAACATAGGGGACAAAGGGCAACATTGTCTTGCTCCTTTCTGAATATTATGTAGTTTAGTTAGATCCCCATTAACCATAATTTGAATTTTCTGAGACATACTATATCTTGAATTAAATTCTTGTGACTATCTTCTAGACCTTAAGTGAAAAGGTCAGTATAAATTATCAAAAGCTTTCTCTGCATTTAAGAAGATTAACACAGCTTGTTTTTCATTACATTGTGTGTAAATATTCTATTACTTCCAATACAATTCTCGCATTATCTTTTGTCTTTTATGTAACAATAGGCACTGGTCTTCATGAGTAAACTCGTAAAAAACATATTTATCTCTCAGCCAAAATTAATGTAAATAATTGATAATGACTGAAATATGTTATATGGTCTAAATGAAGGATGAATGCATGATGCTCCTATAGAGAATTCATCTACTACTGGAAAGATCTCTAATTTCTTTAGGCCTGAGATCAGTCAGGAACTCCAACTTTTCTCAACCTCTTCCTGGGTTGCAATCATAATGACAATCTCAATGATGTTCAGGCACTTTCTGCTTCTATTATATAATTTGTACATAAAGCATTTATTTTTTCTTACTTCAAATCAGAGGTGGGTTTCAGCAGGTTCTGACCAGTTCTGGAGAACCGGTAGCAGAAATTTTGAGTTGTTCGAAGAACTGGTAATAAAAATTGTGACTGGTCCTGCCCCCATCTATTCTCTGCCTCCCAAGTCCCAGCTGATTGGGAGGAAATGGAGATTTTACAGTATCCTTCCCCTGCCACACCCACCAAGCCATGCCATGCCTACCAAGCCACACCCACAGAACTGGTATTAAAAATTTTTGAAACCCACCACTGCTTCAAATGCCATTTTTTAAAAAGCATATCAACAAAATTCCAATTGCACAAATATCATGTTTCAAAAAGCAGGATGTGGCATCTCAGGCCTCAGTAGACTAAGTGCATTAGACAGATATGCTGCCTTGAGAATTCAGAAAAGCTAAATGGACATTTTGGAATTTTAAGAGTAATAGATTGGGGTCATTATCTTCCAAACACCCTTTAATTATTTCAAGCAAAATCATTGGCCCTCTTATGTTTGGAGAGGAGCTTGGATCATCTTCTTGGTGTGGAATGATGCAAACTATTGAGACAAAAAATTCCTCTGTCTCACATTTCTACATTTCTTCTGGTTGTAAGTTGCTCCTTTGTATTCAGGGCTGGTTTCAGGATAATAATGTAGCACTTGGGGATGAAGATACAGCCCAGCAATCCAGCACTGGAGGCCAAGATAGAGAAGACCTGAACAGCCACCATGTATTTCCCTTTGGTGCTCAGGTAGGTGGGTACAAAACTCACCCAGACACTGCAGAAGACCAGCATGCTGAAAGTGATCAACTTGGCTTCATTGAAGGCCCCAGGGAGATTCCTGGCCAGGAAAGCAACTGTGAAGCAAATGGCAGCCAAGATACCCATGTAGCTGAGGGTAATGTAGAACATGACAACAGCCCCTTCATTGCATTGCAGAATGACCTCTCCAGACTGGGAGTGGAGGTCAGAGTCAGGGAATGGGGGAGAAAACCCCAGCCAGATGGAGCAGATGATAATTTGCACAGTAGAACAAGAAAGGATGATGGAATTGGCCAAGCTCTTCCCCAACCATCTCTTCACTTGGTTTCCTGGTTTTGTAGCTAGGAAAGCCAACACCACTGTGATTGTTTTGGCCAAAAGAGAGGAAACGGCAACTGAGAAGACAATGCTGAACACTGCTTGTCGAAGAAGGCAGGTGGCTTTCCTTGGTTGACCAATGAAGAGAAGAGGAGATAAGAAGCAAAGCAGGAGGGAGACCAGGAGGATGTAAGAGAGGTCCCGGTTGTTGGCTTTCACAATGGGAGTTTCTCGGTATTTAATGAATATAATTAAAATAAAGTTTGTGGTTAAGAACAAGAATAGGGCAAAAGACACTAGGATGATGCCCAGATATTCTTCATAAGAAAGGAAGATTATAATTTTGGAGATACATTGGACTCGTTCTTTGTTTGGATATTGATCAGGTGGACACTTGGTGCATTTTTCTGTATCTGAGAATACCAAAAGGTTTAATTTTTTTTTAACAATCTCTCCATTCACATTTTAAGAAATAACTTCTTCGGACAACAGCTAGTACCAGAAACATTTCCCCAAATGCATGTTTTAACATTCATCAGAATATAGTTAATAAAAATATCATTTTCTATGGATAGACTGTCTATGGAAATGAAGGAGAGGGAAGAAACCAAGTACTATCAAATTTGGAATAGATGGTATTCCTGGCTTGAGAGTAAATGTAAAACTTAAGATATAAGTTGTAAAAAGTATTATATATAGAATGCAAAATTTATAAGAAATATATGATATTGATTTGTGAGTAGATATTGATATTATAATTTAAATAAGGATATAACATACGATAGTGATGTATATAAATAGAATTTTTGTAAATATGATTATTACAAAATATATTGATACCGATATGGAAAAGCTGTTATAAGTGTAAACATGTGTTTTGTGTTTTAAATGTTGGAAAATTCAATAAATACTATTTTTTAAAAAAAGAATACCATTTTCTAATATATAAATATATAGCTAAGATCTATGGAATTTGGGCAAATCTCAGGAACGGAAAGATTTCACGTTTAATGTGCAGAATCTCCATAGGAATTTACAGGATTAGAGTTTAAGAATGAATCAGTTAATCTTTCTAGTTACACTTCCTGAATCCTGCAGGATGGCAATTCTTAATATATTGATATCAGAAGATAGCAATAGCAATAGCACTTAGTCTTATAAACTGCTTCACAGTGCTTTACAGCCCTCTCTAAGTGGTTTACAGAGTCAGCATATTTATTGCCCCTAACAATTTGGGTCCTCATTTTACCGACCTTGGAAGGATGGAAGACTAAGTCAACCTTGAGCCTGGTGAGATTTTGATCTGCCAAATTGCAGGCAGCTGGCAGCCAGCAGCCAGCTGAAGTAGCCTGCAGTACTGCACTCTAACCACTGTGCCACTGCGGCTCTTATATAGCTATCTTGGTGCATATATCTGTCTTAGGAGCCTTGGTGGTGCAGCAGACTAAAGTGCTGTTAAGTAGCACTTAGCTGCCAGCTGCCTGCAATTACTGCGAGTTCAAATCTCACCAGGCTCAAGGTTGACTCAGCCTTCCATCCTTCCAAGGTAGGTAAAATGAGGACCCGGATTGTGGGGGCAATAAACTGGCTTTGTATAAAAAAGAACACCGCTTGGGGGGGGGGGCAAAAGCCCTACTAAGCAGGTATATACAAAAGTATGAAGGCTATTGCTTAATGCATTGTAAGCTGCCCTGAATCTCGGAGAAGGGCAGCATATAAATCGAACCAATAAATATCTTGTGAAATCTAACAACCTAGCAGAGAAAGCTACTCCAGCAAATAATCTGGAATGGTTAATGGAAGCATTGGTAATATGGATGGAATGAGGGCTCCCTATAACTTAATTCAACACCAAATTATGGATCAGTGATGCCTTCCCCCAGTGAGCCCATAATGAATGTACTGCAATAATCCTTCCAATAATTATCCTAACATCATTTCTCAAGTGATGTTCCCAGAAGTCAAAATATAGAAAGAAACTATAACCGGCTGACAAACCGCACTCAGCGTGTACTACTTAATATTCCAATATTTGAGGGGCTGCCAAAAAGAAGAGGGGTCCACCTAGTTTCCAAAGCATGCAAAGGCAAGACAAGACTCAAGGAAAGAAATAACCTAGAACTAAGAAGAAATTTCCTAACAGTGAGAACAATTAACCAGTGGAATGGCTTGCCTTCAGAAATTGTAGGTACATTATTTTTGCTATTCCTCCAGTGGTGGGATTCAAATAATTTAACAACTGGTTCTCTGCCCTAATGACCAGCTGGGTAGGTGTGGCTCGGTAGTCATGTGACCATGTGAGCGTGGCCAACTCAACATCACTCACTTTGATGGGCGCTTTGCCTTAGCTGTTACAATGTAATAAGGGTTAACCAGAGAGGCAGTTTCTGTAAGCAGGGCAATAAAGATTAGGCTAGAATCAACACCAGAATGTTTTCTTCCTGCCTTCCTTACAGGATTAGCTCTGTAAAGTGGAAAAAAACAAAATAAGATTTCTTCCAACAATCGGTTCTCTGAACTGCTTTGAAAGTTAACAACTGGTTCTCCCGAATAGGTGCGAACTGGCTGAATCCCATCAACGTATTCCTCCCCTTAGATAATAAATTGACCATTAGAAGATGAACAAGAAAACAAACAGTTGAGCTTCAATCAAGCTTTATCTTTTTAACTGCACTTTCATGAAAATGCTGTGGAAGAATCCAGTTCCACAGATCCTGTCCTTTTCTTTTCTTTAATGTTACCCACCTTCCTGAGTGGAGATGGTCCCCTCTGGACAAGGAACGCAGTCATAGCAGCAAACTGGTTCCCCTTCTCGCTTCCGCTTGACAAATCCAGGATGACAATTTTCCACACACTGGGACTGAGGCAGAGACTAAGCAGAAAAGCCAAAGAAAATGCATTAGCACTTACCATCCATGGAAAATAAAGGTTAAAATGAATATTAGCCAAAGACTCTCTGTTATTCAGTTAGATAAATGAAATGAGTTCTTTAATTTCAACCGGAATAACACAAGGGCTATCAATAGATTCAAACTCAATGTAATTCGCTCTAATTTTGATTGTAGGAAATATGACTTCTGCAATAGAGTAGTTAATGTCTGGAACACTCTACCTGATCCTGTTGTTAGTCTCTCTAATCCCCATATCTTTTACCTTAAACTGTCTACCGTAGACCTTTCATGTTTTTTAAGAGGTCCCTAAGGGGGCATGCATAAGCGCACCAGCGTGCCTACCATCCCTGTCCTACTGTTCCCATTTATATGTACTCATTTTATGTGTTTATGGCTATTTTTTCCTTTTATTTGTGCCAATTTTTTTCATGTGTCCATGTCTATGTCTATGGTGTTACTTGTTTCCTTGTACTTGATGACAAATAAATAAATAATAAATAGATAAGTCTGAACTCTCTAATTAGTTCCAAATAGTTGCAGGAGATGCAACTACTGACAGATTCTTCATTTAGTTCTTCCCTTTTGCTTTTGGAATATCTCATTGAAATAAAGGACTTTTCTACTTAGTAAAATTAGGAGGGATGGGGTTAAGAAGAGATTTAAGCATTAAGTGACAACCAGTGTTTTTTTTTCTTCTTCTCATGGCTGTATTAAAAAATTCCTCCATTCTTCATATATCCATGTATTAGTGTTAAATTTGGTAGAATCAAATTTATTCTAAAAGATTTACTAAAGTTTTACTTCATTAGATTTATGAAAATAGAATCAAACTGGGATGAAGAAAGAAGGTTAGTACGGTGCAAAGATTTCTTTAGGACTACTTAAAACATTGCAGCTGGTGCAGAGTGCAGCCGCGCGGGTGGTTATGGGAGCGACGTGGTGTTCCCATGTAACACCTCTCCTGCGCGAGCTGCACTGGCTCCCGGTGGTCTTCTGGGTGCGCTTCAAGGTTTTGGTTACCACCTTTAGAGCACTCCATGGCTTAGGACCTGGATACTTACAGGACCGCCTGCTGCCACCAATAGCCTCTCACCGGCCAATACGCTCTCATAGAGAGGGGCTCCTCAGGGTGCCATTGGCCAAACATTGTCGGCTGGTGGCCCCCAGGGGGAGACCCTTCTCTGTGGGGCACTTGTTATTTGGAATGAGCTCCCCCCGGAGATACGGAGGATCCCAGATTTACGCACCTTCCGCCACGCCCTCAAGACCTTTTTATTCCAAAATTAGGCTGGCCTGGCCTAACTTTCCCTTTTAAATGGTATATGAGAAATTTTAAATTTGTTTTAAATATGGGTATGTTTTTTAATTTGTCTTGGGCCAAATAGTTTAATACGTTTTTATACTGTTTTAAATTTTATAATCTCTGTGTTTTATCTTTTTGGCTGTTCACTGCCCTGAGTCCTTCGGGAGTAGGGCGGTATATAAATCTAATAAAATAAATAAATAAAAATAAATAAAATAATGTTTTAAAAGTGGTTTAAAATAGTATCCCGGTTAAGATACATAGGAAAAGGTTCTTACAATTAGAGGTGTTAACCTTAAAACAGAGGGACTTTGTTTATTTGCATATTTTACTTTCATTTATATGGCTGCCCTCTTAGTTATATGAGACTAAAATCAAGAGCCTAGTATCTAAAGTGTAATTAGATGACATAGAGGTAAGGTCATGAGAACATGTCCCTCAAAATGTCTAGCATCCTTTGCTGCAAGAGATGAACATGAATATGAGCCCTTCATTGGAAAAAGTTATTTCTAAGGCTCAGCTAGGTATCCAAGACAAGGTCCTTTCTGTTGAAGAACTACAATGAGGTGATGCCAACTGGCATGGAAAGACAGATTCACATTTATTATTAGGTAAATTTGGAACCTCATTTCTGCTCAGCAAGACTTAATGTAGGAAGCAATCATGATAAACAGTATCATTCAAGGGTTATTAGATGAAACACCCTCTTACAAGCCAAATCTAAGTAACATTTCCTTTCAAATTGTCCATTGGACATTGTCCAATATTAGGAAGGGCTTTTCTTTCAATCAAAGTCATATTTCAGTGCTCCAGTTTTCTGGATCAAGGTATTATCTCACATTAGACCAGTCATTATGATTTCAGTTGAACTGAATGCCTTGAACTTCTTTCCAATGACCAGAAGATCTATTGCTCTCTCCAACTGGAGTGAAAGGAAACCATGGATAATTATGGCCACATCTGGCCTGCTTAAAATTTTTACTGACTATGGAACCTTCCCTTTCAAGGGACACTTTGCCCAGCCAAGACAATCTGAATCCCAAGGCATATACCCAAGGAGGTATCTTGTTTCCACTTCATTTGATTCAGTCCAACCCCAAATTCGGGAACTCTTTAACAGAATTGCCTTCTCCTTTGCTATTTTAGAACAAGGAACAAGCAAAATTGAATATATCAGTACCACAATCATCAGCACTTGAGGGCCTCGCTCATCAGTTTCATAGAAATACAGGTAGTCCTCAACTTACGACCACAATTGAGCCCAAAATTTATGTTGCTAAGTGAGAAATTTGTTAAGTGAGTTTTGCCCCATTTTACAACTTTTTGTCAGCTTTGAAAGCCATATTATTTTATTTTATTTTATTATTTTTATTTTTATTTATTTTTATATGCCGCCCTTCTCCGGAGACTCAGAGACTCATTTTTAAAAATACAATACTTTACATATATACATACAAGGTTATTGCAACTAACGTACACAAATCTGCGCCTATACCACTAATACAATCCATTTCATTTCCCTCTCTTTTCTTTCACCCAATTATACCATAAATTCCAACATTTGTAATAATCAGAATCTTTTTGGTTCCTAAGTAATTTCGTTAACTGGTCTGCCTCTGCGCATTCTGTAATTTTTTTTTATTGTATTTTTATTTTATTTTTTTATTTATTTTTATATGCCGCCCTTCTCCGGAGACTCAGGCCGGCTTACAATGCGTTAAGCAATAGCCTTCATATTTTTGTATATTTTATACAAAGTCAGCTTATTGCCCCCATAAACCTGGTCCTCATTTTATCCACCTTAGAAAGGATGGAAGGCTGAGTCGACCTTGAGCCTGGTGAGAATTGAACTCGCAGTAATTGCAGGCAGCTGGATGTTAAATGCTGCCTTAGTAGGAGGCATTAGCCTCCTACGCCACTCAGGCTCCTGATATTAACCCCGGAAGCTTCCACGCTGCCACTTTCTTGTGCTTGGGAAAGTGGGGGGGGGGATTTAGTAGAGGGGTTTTAGTTAGACATAATAGCATTCTTCTTTTCGGTCAAGGTCAGGGTGTTCCTGCATCTGGAGGAGGAGCGGTTGCAGTGGTGGCTCAAGTTGGGACGGATGGTGATTGGGCCATGTGATGGACTGATGGGTGCAGGGGCTGGATTTGGGGTTTTGATTTATTGAGGGAAGATCCGGAACTCTCAGATTTGGGTTTTCCCAGATCTGCTAGTATACCTATTCCAATAAATGGAAGACTTGAGGTGATGCTTGTCTTGGAGTTTTTAATTGGAGTTGGGTTGTTCTGGAATGCTGACACTTTTTCACCACATTTGTTAGGTTTTTCAGGGCCATCGTAACTTTGAATGGTCACCAAATGAACTTCTTGTAAGTCAAAGGACTACTTTTACCAGATTGTATAGGACAAAAAAAACCAAACAAAAACCATGATCCGTGTCCCAAAAAATTGTCACCCAACATCCTATGTTGGACAGTGCAAAATCAGCTTTTGTACAATCTCCCATATTTTAGCATGGAAAGGACGCCTGATTTTCAAGCAGCCTTTAAAAAAAAACCTGTGAGATTTCTACTCCCCACATTCAATTCTCAGTGAAGGTCAACTACCTTGTTGATTAGGCTGAGCCAACTTGAAATGAGTGCTCAGGCTTTGGATAGATAGAGGATGGACACGCATATTTCTCCTACCTTGTTGAGAAGCTTTAGCAATGACAGAGTATCTTTATTGACTGTAAATCTCTGCCTTTCAAAACTCCCCAGTTGCTCATCAACAGGATCCAACCAGGGAATAAACACCCAGTTTATGACATTCAGATCTGCTGTTACATCTCCATTTTGGTCAAAGTACAATTTCCGATGGGAAATATTGTAAAATTCATTCTTCTCCAGAAATGGATGGAACTAGAACAGAAACATCCAGGAATTTTAAAGGCAGAAAATTTAGGTTTTTTTAAAAAAAAATCCCAGGTGGCCTTTTCACTTTTGAAGCTTTCATCTACAGTTGTCAAAGTTACAAATATAGTAAGCTGGGAAAACAAGTGTTACCACTTTCTTCAAAAGTGAAAAAGGCTCAGATAAATTGGTCAACCATATATTGAGATAGATAGATAGATAGATAGATAGATAGATAGATAGATAGATAGATAGATAGATAGATAGAAAGATAGATAGATCTACATCTATATATAGACAAAATACTGTCCAAATTTGCCAATTAAAGGGAAGATTTTAGAACATATCAGATGTAAATTGAACAAAGAAACAAACAGTGAGATTATTCATAAATGAATAATCCTCCCAACATATTTGTATTTTTTTTTGTCATTCTATTTCTAAAAGGTTTACCAAAATGGTCTGAAAAAAATATCTAAATCAAATTTAAGAGAGAGACTCATGCAAAGTTCTACACTTGGAAGAAGTAAAATGAGATGCCAGAAAAGTAGGATGAGGGATGCCAAACACAGCAAGAATACTTGTGAGAATAAACTCAAAATAGTAGTTGATTGCAAGCTGAATGTGAATCAGCAGTTGATGTGCATGGAAAGAAGGAAATACACCCATAAAAAAATCTCAGGAAGTGAAGGAAAGAGATCCCTACTCAAATACTAGGTCCTTCAAACTAATGAATGTAAAATTCTACAATACTCATAATATCCTAAATACAGGAATTTATTTAAAAATGTATACATTGTTTTACAAAGAGCAGTTTTAACATCAATATA